AAAAAAAAAAAAAAAAAAAAAAAAACTTGTCAAGCTCTTTTCACCTATGATAGAAGATGAGCCCAAACTTTACTCTCACCCACTTATTCTTAACCACAGAATCCAGTGACCTTGGTCACCTTGCCCACCTATCTACTTGCATTCATCTTTGGCAGACCTGGAGTTAATATAGGTTGATGCCTGCCTGATGCCTCTGAATTCAGGAATTCCAGGGCAAACTCAGGGCTTTGTGCCAATCTCCAGATTGGCAACTTGAGCTGAACAAATGAGTTGTAGTTTGGATGTCCTTGTGTAAACATTCCCTAGATTGATTTTGTGGACTTGGCAGCCTGATCATCATGATCATCTTGCCAGGGGCAATGATTACAAGGCCACTTAACCTCTTTCTAAGAAAGAATTACCTGTTTATGTGGGAGAAAGAAAACAGCGAGAATGAATGAATGACGAGGAAGAAACATTTACTGTCTGTCCTCTAGACACTTCAGTTTTGAAAGTCACCTTCCTGTGGACTTCCTGAAAAAGATTCTCAGGTAGCCTCTGGATAATCAGAAAAGTGACACTTGAGTTGGAGAACAGAGGGACCAACCCTCATCTTGGGGTCACAGGTAGCAGGTGGCAGAGGAGTCCTAATAGTTCTGCCTGCCGACGGGCCAGTGGAGTTGGGCGAGGAGCAGCAGGAACTGCGTGTCCAAGCCGTTGGCCTCTGAAGCGGGGAGGCAGTGGGGGTAGGTGGTAGAGAACTCACGTCTCCTCTTGACCTCATTTCATGTAGTAGAGGAAGAAAATTAATTTGGCTCTATAAAGAATTAACTAAGACAGCCCACATCCCAGTGCCTGGTCTTGCATTGTAGAATTTACAGCCAAGAAGAAAATGTATTTTTGAAAGGGCAACGTCTGGTCTCATCCCTCACCAATTGACACCCCATCTGTCAATGCCTTTTTTTCCCTTCCTGTTCTCTTCACTTCGTGGGAATAGGAGACATGGCTTATGTTTGGTAATTGATAAAATTTCTTTGAGAGAAAATAAAGCTTTCAACTCCCTTGGCCTAATTTTTCATTTGTTTTTTTCATACAAATGCAGTATATGAGTCCAACTTTCATGTGTGTATGTCTTTACATAAGCCAGGTTCACATCCCTTCATCACAGTGGTGGTACACAGACTTCTGGATGCAACAGATTTACTTGAAATACTCATTTAAAATGCCAGTTCTAAGCTTTCCCCATGAAGATTTTGGGGTTCAAAGGCTTTTGGTGGATAATGGTCAATGTACCACACTTTGTGTAACAAGGCCCAAGTATGATATACCTAGGCTAGTACACTGTGATAGGCCAAGTAAGGCAATAAGAATGTAGCTCTTGATTGGCAAATTTAACTTAATTGTAAGTAAATTATAGCATTTTGTATCAAAACAAATATAAGGTATTAGTACAAATTTTCAAGATAACTACCCACGGAAGTTTTGTGTTTTCTGTGGGTGCTATGTGATACCACAAAGGCTATCACTTGATTTTGTTAAAAGACGAGGATGTGTACTTGCTCGTTGAATTGCCAGCAGTTTGCAGGTTTGACGATTGTGTTGGGGCAGGGGTTTTGAGCAAAGGAATGACCCGGGTTTACCTATTGAGTTAGGTAGTGCTATCAGAAGCATTGTTGGTAGTTTTTATGTTATCTTTTTTATTTTGCATCATGTATTATAAAGTATACTTCACAGCTGTATATTTTCATCCTGCTCTCTAAGAGAATAGTATTCTCTGGGGCTTCCTTTCCAGGTCTTAAGGAAACTTTAGAATATGCACAAAAGCAACTAGTATAGAATTAATACCAGTTGATAGCAGTTTGGGAGAGTGGTGGCAGTTAGGAAAGTGATTTGTGTGGCCTGTAGGTGACTGGAAACACCTTGGCTCTGCTGGATGAGGGGGTAATATCTGGGCCTTTGGTGTAGAGTAGACTATTATTTTAATATCAAAAAACAAAAAATATTCCGCTGAACAGAGGCTCCAAAGTACAACCAGGTTTTGAAAATCTGTTATCTTGTCCTCCAATCGCGGCATCCTCATTTCCTCCAAGTGCTAAGCAATGCTTACAAGATCAGTGATAGTGAATTTGCCTCAATACTAGCGTCTTTCTGGTGTATGCGTAAATTTCTTTTTGCAGAGGGTGTAGGAAATGCAGTACCAGGGTCCACCCATCATCCTTCAGTTTCATTGTACACTTAACCAATATTAGTTAACATTCACAGAGCATTTATTATGCGCTCTATATGCAGTATCTCTTCATTCTTTGGACAATTCTGTGAGGTAGGCAACCATTTCTACATCTCAGATGAGAATGTAAAGAGCCAGAGAAGCTAAATAGTTGGAGCCCACCTAGGCTAAACCCCAGTGGTACTCAGCATGAGAGCAAACTAGGGCATTCCTTGCCCTCTTTCCCACTGCTTCCCGCCAGCGCAAGCTAGGAGTAGAGCGCGGTTCCAGAGAGCAGAGAAACACCTGGGGAGCTTGTTAAGATGCCGGGCCCGGGCCCCACCCCGAGGGAATCCGCACCACTAGTGATAATGATATAGATGGGGGAAACACTGCGTTAGAGCAAATTAACCTCTTCCCCGAACGCTGATGCGCTGCGAGGACCGGGAGGGTCGCAGCCGCTCGCCACACCCCCGGAGACGCAGAGCGCGGGCAGATGCTGCCCCCTGGCGGCCAGGCTGGCGCAGTGAGACCCGCGTCGCGGCTGCGCAGTGCCGCCCTCTGGCGGCCCCCTCTCCTTCCCATCGGCCTCGGCTTGCGGGCCTTTCAAACATGGAGGAGCGGGAGAGGGGGGCGAGGTCGGCTCGCGCCGGCAGCCCTGCGCGCCCGCCCAGCCCGCGGCTGGATGTCAGCTCTGACAGCTTCGACCCACTGCTCGCCCTGTACGCGCCTCGCCTGCCTCCCATCCCCTACCCCAACGCGCCCTGCTTCAACAACCTGGCCGAGTACGAGAGCTTCCTCAGGACCGGGTGCCGGGGCGGCGGGCGCGGCCGGGCGCGGGTCGCGGCCGCGGGCTCTGGGGACCCCGCCACCGCCGCCGCCGGGCCCTTGGGCAGGACCCGCCGCCGCCCGGACATCCCCGCCCCGGACCCCGAGCGCATCCAGCGCCTCCGCCGCCTCATGGTGGCCAAGGAGGAAGGGGACGGGGCCGCCGGGGCGCGGCGGCGGGGTCCGGGTCGGAGCAGGAAGGCGCCGCGCAACGTGCTCACGAGAATGCCCTGTGAGTCCGGCGGGCGGGGCTGGGGCCGGGCCAGCTGTCGAGAAGGCGGCGGCCCTGGAGGCGTTTGCGGGGTGATAGCGGCTTGGTGCGGGTCTACGTGTATCGGGGGAGGGTCTTGGTGAAGGTTGAAGAGATAATCAGCGACCGTGGGGAGGGTCAGCTTGAGGAGTGAAGAAGGGTCTGCCTGAGCTGCGGGGGAAGAGTGGGTAAGGCTGTGGAGGTAATAAATAGCCGTGGGGAGTGTCTGCTCGGATAACGTGAGTAAAGGTGATGGGGTCCACGGAACTGCCTACAGAGGTGATGAGGAGCCTGCAGAAAGGATCTGCAGGAGTGATGGGGGGTCTGGAGAGGTGGTGGGCCTGGAAACGGGACATCACAGGTAGGGTTTGCAGAGGTGTTGAGGTCTTGGGACCACGCACGGTGGGGGGAGGGAGGGCATAGCCAATATTAGGGGAGGGAGAGTGCTTGGTCATTGAGATTTGGGGATGTTGGGATGCAGTGTGAGGAAATCTGTTCAGGTAGCACAGGAGACATAATCCCACAACCCCTGCACATTAAGTGACAGCTAGTTCTCAGTGCTGTAAGCAGGAGAAGGGCTGCCGGGTGTTGATATACCTATGTTCACATTAGCAAATCACAAGTCCTGGAATGCAGCAGGCACAAAATGCCAGTGAAGCACAGACGCTATTTTACAGCCACTCTGCCAGGCTGAGTGCAGGACTGTGTCTGTCAGGCTCATACTACCATATGCACAGGTTATTTTACGTTATGAAGGTGTAAATGGCACAAGGGAATTTCTTGCAGCCTCCTAATAGATCCTTAGAGTAAAGCTGTAAACAGCAGAAGTTGCTAATGTGTGTTAGGTCTTGTATAAATGGAATAAAAACAGCCCAGGGTTATATCTTTGTCATCTGGCAAGCAGTTCTGACATCTTGCCCCGTGAACACAATGACCTACTTAGCCATTCAGAGCATCTGTATCCTGATAGCTAAATCTTGGCATTATTAAATCACTGCCTTTGGAATGGAGGGTTGTGCTAAGCAAAGGAATATTTTGTTTCATTTCTAGAAATGTGTTTGTTAAGAGAGAAACATCCTGAAAAGCTGAGTGCTGTTAGGGGTGCCTTTGTCGGATGATTTACTATGCCGGAGAATCCCTGCCTGAGCTAGGGTTTATTCCAGTTTGCTTG